CTTGAGTGGTCGAGGAGCTTGCCTGATCCAGGAGCTTGCCTTGTCCAAGAGCTTGCCTGGTCTAGGAGCGTGCTTGGTCCAAGAGCTTGTGTGGTCCAGGAGCTTGCCACGTCCACGAGCTTGCCCGGTCCAGGAGCGTGCCTGGTCCACGAGCCTCCCTGGTCCCGGAGCTTGCCTGGTCAAGGAGCTTGCCTGGTCGAGGAGCTTGCCTGGTCCAGGAGCTTGCTTGGTCCAGGAGCTTGCATGTTCCAGGAGCTTGCCTAGTCTAGGAGCTTGCCTGGTCCAGGAGCTTGCCTTGTCAAGGAGTGTGCCTGGTCCACGAGTGTGCTTGGTCCAGGAGCTTGCTTGGTCCACAAGCTTGCCTTGTCCAAGAGCTTGCCTGGACAAGGAGCTTGCCTTGTCCAAGAGTTTGCCTGGTCCAGGAGCTTGCCTAGTCCAGGAGCTTACCTGGTCCAGTAGCTTGCCTTGTCCAGTAGCTTGACTAGTCCCGAAGCTTGCCAGGTACAGGAGCTTGCTTGGTCCAGAAGCGTGCCTGGTCCAAGAGCTTGCCTTGTCCAGGAGCGTGCCTGGTCCAAGAGCTTTCGTGGTCCGGGAGCTTGCCAGGTCCAAAAGCGTGCCCGGTCCAGGAGCGTGCCTGGTCCACGAGCCTGCTTGGTCTAGGACCTTGCCTGGTCCATGAGCTTGCCTGGTCCATGAGCTTGCCTGGTTCAGGAGCTTCCCTGGTCCAGGAGCTTGCCTGGTCCAAGAGCTTGCCTGGTCCAGGAGCTTGCCTGGTCCAAGAGCTTGCCTGGTCCAGGAGCGTGCCTGGTCCACGAGCTTGCCTGGTCCTGGAGCTTGCCTGGTTCAGGAGCTTGCCTGGTCCAAGAGCTTGCCTGGTCCAAGAGCTTGCGTGGTTTAGGAGCTTGCCTGGTCCATAATCTTGCAAGGTCCCGGAGCGTGCCTGGTCCACGAGCTTGCCTAGTCCAGGAGCTTGCCTGGTCCAGGACCTTGCCTGGTCTAGGAGCTTGCCTGGTCCGGGAGCGTGCCTGGTCCAGGAGCTTGCCTGATCCTGGAGCTTGCTTGGTCCAGAAGCTTGCCTGGTCCACGAGTTTGCCTGGTATAGGAGCTTGCCTGCTCGAGGAGCTTGCCTGGTCTAGGAGCTTGCGTGGTCCAAGAGCGTGCCTTGTTCAGGAGCTTGCCTGGTCCAGGAGCTTGCCTGGTCCAAGAGAGTGCTTGGTCCACGAGCCTGCCTGGTCCAAGATCTTGCCTGGACCAAGAGCGTGCCTGGTCCACGAGCATGCCTGGTCCAGGAGCTTGCCTTGTCCAGGAGCTTGCCTGGTCCAGGAGCTTGCCTGGTCCAGGAGCTTGCCTTGTCCAGGAGCTTGCCTTGTCCAGGAGCTTGCCTTGTCCAGGAGCTTGCCTTGTCCAGGAGCTTGCCTTGTCCAGGAGCTTGCCCGGTCCAAGAGCTTTCCTGGTCCAGTAGCTTGACTGGTCTAGGAGCTTGCCTGGTCCAGGAGCGTGCCTGGTCCAAGACCTTGCCTAGTCCAGGAGCTTGCTTGGTCCATGCCTGATCGAAGAGCCTGCCTAGTCCACGAGCGTGCCTTGTCCACGAGCGTGCCTGGTCCAGGAGCTTGCGTGGTCGAGGAGCTTTCCTGGTCCACGAGCCTCCCTGGTCCAAGAGCTTGTCTGGTCCAGGAGCGTGCATGGTCCCAGAGCTTGCGTGGTCCAGGAGCTTGCCAGGTCCAAAATCTTGCCCGGTCCAGGAGCGTGCCTGGTCCACAAGCCTGCCTAGTTCAGGAGCTTGCCTGGTCCAGGAGCTTGCCTAGTCTAGGAGCTTGCCTGGTCCAGGAGCTTGCCTGATCCAGGAGCTTGCCTGGTCCATGAGCTTGCCTGGTATAGGAGCTTGCCTGGTCCAGGAGCTTGCCTGGTCCAGGAGCTTGCCTGGTCCTGGAGCGTGCCTGGTCCACGAGCTTGCCTGGTGTAGGAGCTTGCCTGGTCCAAGAGCTTGCCTGGTCCGAGAGCTTGCATGGTCCAGGAGCTTGCCTGGTCCAAGAGCTTGCCTAGTCCAGAGCGTGCCTGGTCTAGGAGCTTGCCTGGTCCAGGATCTTGCCTGGTCCAGGAGCGTGCTTGGTCCACGAGTTTGCCTGGTCCACGAGCTAGCCTGGTCCAGGAGCTTGACTGGTCTAGGAGCTTGCCTGGTCCAGGAGCGTGCCTGGTCCAGGAGCTTGCCTTGTCCAGGAGCTTTCCTGGTCCAGGAGCTTGCGTGGTCAAGGAGCGTGCCTGGTCCACGAGCCTGCCTCGAACAAGAGCTTGCCTAGTCCAAGAGCGTGCCTTGTCCACGAGCGTGCTTGGTCCAGGAGCTTGCCTGGTCCAGGAGCTTGCCTGGTCCACGAGCTTGCCCGATCTAGGAGCGAGCTTGGTCCAGGATCTCGCCTGGTCCAGGAGCGTGCCTTGTCCACGAGTTTGCCTGGTCCAGGAGCTTGCCTGGTCCAGGAGCTTGCCTGGTCTAGGAGCTTGCCTGGACCAGGAGCGTGCCTGGTCCAGGAGCTTGCCTGGTCCAGGAGCTTGCCTGGTCCAGGAGCGTGCCTGGTCTTGGAGATTGCTTGGTCCAGGAGCTTGCTTGGTCCAGAAGTCTGCCTGGTCCAAGAGCTTGCCTGGTCGAGGAGCGTGGCTGGTCAAAGACATTGCGTGGTCCAGGAGCTTGCCTGGTCCAGGAGCTTGCTTGGTCCAGAAGCGTGCCTGATCCAAGAGCTTGCGTGGTCGAGGAGCGTGCCTGGTCCACGAGCATGCCTGGTCAAGGAGCTTGAGCGGTCGAGGAGCTTGCCTGATCCAGGAGCTTGCCTTGTCCAAGAGCTTGCCTGGTCTAGGAGCGTGCCTGGTCCAAGAGCTTGCGTGGTTAAGGAGCTTGCCAGGTCTAGGAGCTTGCAAGGTCCAGGTGCGTGCCTGGTCCACGAGCCTGCCTGGTCCAGGAGCTTGCCTGGTCAAGGAGCTTGCCTGGTCCAGGAGCTTGCCTGGTCCAGGAGCTTGCCTTGTCCATGAGCTTGCCTGGTCTAGGAGCTTGCCTGGTCCAGGAGCTTGCCTGGTCTAGGAGCTTGCCTGGTCCAGGAGCTTGCCTAGTCCTGGAGCTTGCCTGGTCCAGGAGCGTGCTTGGTCCCCGACCTTGCCTGGTCCAGGAGCTTGCCTGGTCCAAGAGCTTGCCTGGTCCAAGAGCTTGCGTGGTCCAGCAGCTTTCCTGGTCCAGGAGCTTGCCTGGTCCAGGAGCGTGCCTGGTCTAGGAGCTTGCCTGGTCCAGGATCTTGCCTGGTCCAGGAGCGTGCCTGGTCCACGAGTTTGCTTGGTCCAGAAGCGTGCCTGGTCCACGAGTTTGCTTGGTCCAGAAGCTTGCCTGGTCTAGGATCTTGCCTGGTCCAGGATCGTGCCTAGTCCAAGAGCTTGCCTGGTCCAGGAGCTTGCCTGGTCCAGGAGCTTGCCTGGTCCACGAGCCTACCTGGTCTAGGAGCTTGCCTGGTCCAGGAGCTTGCCTAGTCCAAGAGCTTGCCTGGTCCAGGAGCGTGCCTGCTCCAAGAGCTTGCCTGGTCTAGAAGCTTGCCTGTTCTAGCAGCTTGCCTGGTCCAGGAGCTTTCCAGGTCCAAGAGGTTAGCTGGTCCAGGAGCATGCCTGGTCCAGGAGCTTTCCTGGTCTAGGAGCTTGCTTGGTCTAGAGCTTGCCTGGTCCTAGAGCTTGCCTTGTCTAAGAGCTCGCCTAGTCCAGGAGCTTGCCTGGTCCAGGAGCTTGCCTGGTCCAAGAGCTTGCCTGGTCCACGAGATTTCCTGGTCCAAGAGCTTTCCTGGTCCAGGAGCGTGCCTGGTGTAGGAGCTTGCCTTGTCCAGGAGCTTGCCTGGTCGAGGAGCTTGCCTGGTCCAGGAGCTTGAGTGGTCGAGGAGCCTGCCTGATCCAGGAGCTTGCCTTGTCCAAGAGCTTGCCTGGTCTAGGAGCGTGCTTGGTCCAAGAGCTTGTGTGGTCCAGGAGCTTGCCACGTCCAGGAGCTTGCCCGGTCCAGGAGCGTGCCTGGTCCACGAGCCTCCCTGGTCCCGGAGCTTGCCTGGTCAAGGAGCTTGCCTGGTCCAGGAGCTTGCCTGGTCTAGGAGCTTGCTTGGTCCAGGAGCTTGCATGTTCCAGGAGCTTGCCTGGTCTAGGAGCTTGCCTGGTCCAGGAGCTTGCCTTGTCAAGGAGCGTGCCTGGTCCACGAGTGTGCTTGGTCCAGGAGCTTGCTTGGTCCACAAGCTTGCCTGGTCCAAGAGCTTGCCTGGACAAGGAGCTTGCCTTGTCCAAGAGTTTGCCTGGTCCAGGAGCTTGCCTAGTCCAGGAGCTTACCTGGTCCAGTAGCTTGCCTTGTCCAGGAGCTTGACTAGTCCCGAAGCTTGCCAGGTCCAGGAGCTTGCTTGGTCCAGAAGCGTGCCTGGTCCAAGAGCTTGCCTTGTCCAGGAGCGTGCCTGGTCCAAGAGCTTTCGTGGTCCGGGAGCTTGCCAGGTCCAGGAGCGTGCCCGGTCCAGGAGCGTGCCTGGTCCACGAGCATGCTTGCTCTAGGACCTTGCCTGGTCCATGAGCTTGCCTGGTCCATGAGCTTGCCTGGTTCAGGAGCTTCCCTGGTCCAGGAGCTTGCCTGGTCCAGGAGCGTGCCTGGTCCACGAGCTTGCCTGGTCCTGGAGCTTGCCAGGTTCAGGAGCTTGCCTGGTCCAAGAGCTTGCCTAGTCCAAGAGCTTGCGTGGTTTAGGAGCTTGCCTGGTCCAGAATCTTGCAAGGTCCAGGAGCGTGCCTGGTCCACGAGCTTGCCTAGTCCAGGAGCTTGCCTGGTCCAGGACCTTGCCTGGTCTAGGAGCTTGCCTAGTCCGGGAGCGTGCCTGGTCCAGGAGCTTGCCTGATCCTGGAGCTTGCCTGGTCCAGAAGCTTGCCTGGTCCACGAGTTTGCCTGGTATAGGAGCTTGCCTGCTCGAGGAGCTTGCCTGGTCTAGGAGCTTGCGTGGTCCAAGAGCGTGCCTTGTTCAGGAGCTTGCCTGGTCCAGGAGCTTGCCTGGTCCAAGAGAGTGCTTGGTCCACGAGCCTTCCTGGTCCAAGAGCTTGCCTGGACCAAGTGCGTGCCTGGTCCACGAGCATGCCTGGTCCAGGAGCTTGCCTTGTCCAGGAGCTTGCCTGGTGATGGAAAGCGGGAGAATGGGGCAGGGTGATGGAAGGAGGGAGAATGGGGCGGGGTGATGGAAAGCGGGAGAATGGAGCGGGGTGATGGAAAGCGGGAGAATGGGGCTGGGTGATGGAAAGCGGGAGAATGGGGCGGGGTGATGGAAAGTGGGAGAATGGGGCGGGGTGATGGAAGGAGGGAGAATGGGGTGGGGTGATGGAAAGCGGGAGATTGGGGCAGGGTGATGGAAAGCGGGAGAATGGGGCGGGGTGATGGAAAGCGGGAAAATGGGGCGGGGTGATGGAAAGCGGGAGAATGGGGCGGGGTGATGGAAGGAGGGAGAATGAGGCGGGGTGATGGAAGGAGGGAGAATGGGGCGGGGTGATGGAAAGTGGGAGAATGGGTCGGGGTGATGGAAAGCGGGAGAATGGGGCGGAGTGATGGAAAGCGGGAGAATGGGGCGGGGTGATGGAAAGCGGGAGAACGGGGCGGGGTGATGGAAAGCGGGAGAATGGGGCAGGGTGATGGAAAGCGGGAGAATGGGGCGGGGTGATGGAAAGCGGGAGAATGGGGCGGGGTGATGGAAAGCGGGAGAATGGGGCGAGGTGATGGAAAGCGAGAGAATGGGGCGGGTGATGGAAAGGGGGAGAATGGGGCGGGGTGATGGAAGGAGGGAGAATGGGGAGGGGTGATGGAAAGCGGGGGAATGGGGCGGGATGATGGGAAGCGGAAGAATGGGGCGGGGTGGTGGAAAGCGGGAGAATGGGGCGGGGTGATGGAAAGCGGGAGAATGGGGCGGGGAGATGGAAAGCGGGAGAAAGGGGCGGGGTGATGGAAAGCGGGAGAATGGGGCGGGCTGATGGAAAGCAGGAGAATGGGGCGGGGTGATGGAAGGAGAGAGAAGGGGGCGGGGTGATGGAAAGTGGGAAAATGTGGCGGGGTGATGGAAAGCGGGAGAATGGGGTGGGGTTATGGGACGCAGGAGAATGGGGCGTGGTGATGGAAAGCGGGAGAATGGGGCGGGGTGATGGAATGAGGGAGAATGGGGCCGGGTGATAAAAAGAAGGGAGATTGGGGCGGGGTAATGGAAAGCGGGAGAATGGGGCGGGGTGATGGAAGGAGGGAGAATGGGGCGGGGTGATGGAAAGCGGGAGAATGGGGCGGGGTGATGGAAAGCGGGAGAATGGGGCGGGGTGATGGAAAGCAAGAGAATGGGGCGGGGTGATGGAAAGCGGGAGAATGGGGCGGGGAGATGGAAAGCGGGAGAAAGGGGAGGGGTGATGGAAAGCGGGAGAATGGGGCGGGCTGATGGAAAGCGGGAGAATGGGGCGGGGTGATGGAAGGAGGGAGAATGGGGCGGGGTGATGGAAGGAGAGGGAATGGGGCGGGGTGATGGAAAATGGGAGAATGTGGCGGGGTGATAGAAAGCAGGAGAATGGGGTGGGGTTATGGGAAGCGGGAGAATGAGGCGGGGTGATGGAAAGCAGGAGAATGGGGCGGGGTGATGGAAGGAGGGAGAATTGGGAGGGGTGATGGAAAGCGGGGGAATGGGGCGGGATGATGGGAAGCGGAAGAATGGGGCGGGGTGATGGAAGGAGGGAGAATGGGGCGGGATGATGGAAAGCGGGAGAATGGGGCGGGGTGATGGAAAGCGGGAGAATGGGGCGGGGTGATGGAAAGCGGGAGAATGGGGCGGGGTGATGGAAATCGGGAGAATGGGGCGGGGTGATGGAAAGTGGGAGAATGGGGCGGGGTGATGGAAGGAGGGAGAATGGGGCGGGGTGATAGAAAGCCGGAGAATGTGGCAGGGTGATGGAAAGCGGGAGAATGAGGTGTGGTTATGGGAAGCGGGAGAATGGGGCGGGGTGATGGAAAGCGGGAGAATGGGGTGGGGTGATGGAAGGAGGGAGAATGGGGCGGGGTGATGGAAGGAGGGAGAATGGGGCGGGGTGATGGAAAGCGGGAGAATGGGGCGGGGTGATGGAAGGTGGGAGAATGGGGCGGGGTGATGGAAGGAGGGAGAATGGGGTGGGGTGATGGAAAGCGGGAGAATGGGGCGGGGTGATGGAAAGCGGGAGAATAGGGCTGGGTGATGGAAAGTAGGAGAATGGGGCGGGGTGATGGAAAGCGGGAGAATGGGGCGGGGTGATGGAAGGAGGGAGAATGGGGCGGGGTGATGGAAAGCGGGAGATTGGGGCAGGGTGATGGAAAGCGGGAGAATGGGGCGGGGTGATGGAAAGCGGGAAAATGGGGCGGGGTGATGGAAAGCGGGAGAATGGGGCTGGGTGATGGAAAGCGGGAGAATGGGGCGAGGTGATGGAAAGCGGGAAAATGGGGCGGGGTGATGGAAGGAGGGAGAATGAGGCAGGGTGATGGAAGGAGGGAGAATGGGGCGGGGTGATGGAAAGTGGGAGAATAAGTCGAGGTGATGGAAAGCGGGAGAATGGGTCGGAGTGATGGAAAGCGGGAGAATGGGGCGGGGTGATGGAAAGCGGGAGAATGGGGCGGGGTGATGGAAAGCGGGAGAATGGGGCGGGTGATGGAAAGCGGGAGAATGGGGCGGGGTGATGGAAAGCGGGAGAATGGGGCGGGTGATGGAAAGCGGGTGAATGGGGCAGGGTGATGGAAAGCGGGAGAATGGGGCGGGGTGATGGAAAGCGGGAGAATGGGGCGGGGTGATGGAAAGCAGGAGAATGGGGCGAGGTGATGGAAAGCAAGAGAATGGGGCGGGTGATGGAAAGCGGAAGAATGGGGCGGGGTGATGGAAGGAGGGAGAATGGGGAGGGGTGATGGAAAGCGGTGGAATGGGGCGGGATGATGGGAAGCGGAAGAATGGGGCGGGGTGATGGAAAGCGGGAGAATGGGGCGGGGTGATGGAAAGCGGGAGAATGGGGCGGGGAGATGGAAAGCGGGAGAAAGGGGCGGTTGATGGAAAGCGGAAGAATGGGGCAGGGTGATGGAAGGAGGGAGAATGGGGAGGGGTGATGGAAAGCGGTGGAATGGGCCGGGATGATGGGAAGCGGAAGAATGGGGCGGGGTGATGGAAAGTGGGAGAATGGGGCGGGGTGATGGAAAGCGGGAGAATGGGGCGGGGTGATGGAAGGAAGGAGAATGGGGCGGGGTGATGGAAGGAGAGAGAAGGGGGCGGGGTGATGGGAAGCGGGAGAATGGGGCGAGGTTATGCGAAGCGGGAGAATGGGGCGGGGTGATGGAAAGCAGGAGAATGGGGCGGGGTGATGGAAAGCGGGAGAATGGGGAGGGGTGTTGGAAAGCGGGAGAATGGGGCGGGGTGATGAAAAGCGGGAGAATGGGGCGGGTTGATGGAGAGCGGGAGAATGGGGCGGGGTGATGGAAAGCGGGAGATGGGGCGGGTGATGGAAAGCGGGTGAATGGTGTGGGGTGATGGAAAGCGGGAGAATGGGGCGGGGTGATGAAAAGCAGAAGAATGGGGCGGGGTGATGGAAAGTGGGAGAATGGGGAGGGGTGATGGAAAGCGGGGGAATGGGGCGGGATGATGGAAAGGGGAAGATGGGGCTGGGGTTATGGGAAGCGGAGAATTGGGCGGGGTGATGGAAGGACTGAGAATGGGGCGGGGTGATGGAAAGAGGGAGAATGGGGCGGGGTGATGGAAAGCAGGAGAATGGGGCGGGGTGATTGAAAGCGGGAGAATTGGGCGGGGTGATGGAAAGCGTGAGAACGGGGCGGGGTGATGGAAAGCGGGAGAATGGGGCGGGGTGATGGAAAGCAGGGGAATGGGGCGGGGTGATGGAAAGCGGGAGAATTGGGCGGGGTGATGGAAAGAGGGAGAATGGGGCGGGTGATGGAAAGCGGGAGAATGGGGCAGGGTGATGGGAGGAGGGAGAATTGGGCAGGGTGATGGAAGGAGGGAGAATGGGGCGGGGTGATGGAAAGCGGGAGAATGGGGCGGGGTGATGGAAGGAGGGAGAATGGGGCGGGGTGATGGAAAGCGGGAGAATGGGGCGGGGTGATGGAAAGCGGGAGAATGGGGCGGGGTGATGGAAAGAGGCGAAAGAATGGGGCGGGGTGAAGGAAAGCGGGAGAATGGGGCGGGTGATCGAAAGAGGGAGAATGGGGCGGGGTGATTGAAAGCGGGAGAATGGGTCGGGTTGATGGAAAGCGGGAGAATGGGGCGGGGTGATGGAAAGTTGGAGAATGGGGCGGGGTGATGGAAAGCGGGAGAATGGGGCGGGGTGATGGAAAGCGGGAGAATGGGGCGGAGTGATGGAAAGCGGGAGAATGGGGCGGGGTGATGGAAAGAGGCGAGAGAATGGGGCGGGGTGATGGAAATCGGGAGAATGGGGCGGGGTGATGGAAAGAGGGAGAATGGGGCGGGGTGATAGAAAGAGGTAGAATGGGGCAGAGTGATGGAAAGCGAGAGAATGGGGCAGGGTGATGGAAACCGGGAGAATGGGGCGGGGTGATGGAAACAGGGAGAATGGGGCGGGGTGATGGAAAGCGGGAGAATGGGGCGGGGTGATGGAAAGCGGGAGAATGGGGCGGGGTGATGGAAAGCGGGAGAATGGGGCGGGGTGATGGAAAGAGGGAGAATGGGGCGGGGTGATGGAAAGAGGGAGAATGGGGCGGGGTGAGGGAAAGCAGGAGAATGGGGCGCGGTGATGGAATGCTGGAGAATGGGGCGGGGTGATGGAAAGTGGGAGAACGGGGCGGGGTGATGGGAAGCGGGAGAATGGGGGCGGGGTGATGGAAAGCGGGAGAATGGGGCGCGGTGATGGAAAGCGGGAGAATGGGGCGGGGTGATGGAAAGAGGCGGGAGAATGGGACGGGGTGATGGAAAGCAGGAGAATGGGGTGGGGAGATGGAAAGCGGGAGAATGGGGCGGGGTGATGGAAAGAGGGAGAATGGGGCGGGGTGATGGAAAGCGGGAGAATGGGGCGGGGTGATGGGAAGCAGGAGAATGGGGCGGGGTGATGGAAAGCGGGAGAATGGGGCGGGGTGATGCAAAGCGGGAGAATGGAGCGGGGTGATGGAAAGCGGGAGAATGGGGCGGGGTGATGGAAAGCGGGAGAATGGGGCGGGGTGATGGAAAGCGGGAGAATGGGGCGGGGTGATGGAAAGCGGGAAATAGGGCAGGGTGATGGAAAGAGGGAGAATAGGGAGGGGTGATGGAAAGAGGGAGAATAGGGCGGGGTGATGGAAAGCGGGAGAATGGAGCGGGGTGATGGAAAGAGGGAGAATGGGACGGGGTGATGGAAAGCGGGAGAATGGGGCGGGGTGATGAAAAGCGGGAGAATGGGGCGGGGTGATGGAAAGCGAGAGAATGGGGCGGGGTGATGGAATGAGGGAGAATGGGGCGGGGTGATGGAAAGCAGGAGAATGGGGCGGGGTGATGGAAAGCGGGAAAATGGGGCGGGGTGATGGAAAGCGGGAGAACGGGGCGGGGTGATGGAAAGCGAGAGAATGGGGCGGGATGATTGAAAGAGGGAGAATGGGGCGGGGTGATGGAAAGCGGGAGAATGGGGCGGGGTGATGGAAAGAGGGAGAATGGGGCGGGGTGATAGAAATCGGGAGAATGGGGTGGGATGATGGAAAGAGGGGAGGATGGGGTGGGGTGATGGAACGCAAAAGAATGGGGCGAGGTGATGGAAAGCGGGAGAATGGGACGGGGTGATGGAAAGCGGCAGAATTGGGTGGGGTGATGGATAGAGGGAGAATGGGGAAGGGTGATGGAAAGAGGGAGAATGGGGCGGGGTGATGGAAAGCTGGAGAATGGGGCGGGGTGATGGAAAGCGGGAGAATGGGGCGGGGTGATGGAAAGCGGGAGAATGGGGCGGGGTGATGGAAAGAGGCGAAAGAATGGGGCGGGGTGAAGGAAAGCGGGAGAATGGGGCGGGTGATCGAAAGAGGGAGAATGGGGCGGGGTGATGGAAAGCGGGAGAATGGGTCGGGTTGATGGAAAGCGGGAGAATGGGGCGGGGTGATGGAAAGTTGGAGAATGGGGCGGGGTGATGGAAAGCGGGAGAATGGGGCGGGGTGATGGAAAGCGGGAGAATGGGGCGGAGTGATGGAAAGCGGGAGAATGGGGCGGGGTGATGGAAAGAGGTGAGAGAATGGGGCGGGGTGATGGAAATCGAGAGAATGGGGCGGGGTGATGGAAAGAGGGAGAATGGGGCGGGGTGATAGAAAGAGGTAGAATGGGGCAGAGTGATGGAAAGCGAGAGAATGGGGCAGGGTGATGGAAACCGGGAGAATGGGGCGGGGTGATGGAAACCGGGAGATTGGGGCGGGGTGATGGAAAGCGGGAGAATGGGGCGAGGTGATGGAAAGCGGGAGAATGGGGCAGGGTGATGGAAAGAGGGAGAATGGGGCGGGGTGATGGAAAGAGGGAGAATGGGGCGGGGTGATGGAAAGCAGGAGAATGGGGCGCGGTGATGGAAAGCGGGAGAATGGGGCGGGGTGATGGAAAGTGGGAGAACGGGGCGGGGTGATGGGAAGCGGGAGAATGGGGGCGGGGTGATGGAAAGCGGGAGAATGGGGCGCGGTGATGGAAAGCGGGAGAATGGGGTGGGGTGATGGAAAGAGGCGGGAGAATGGGACGGGGTGATGGAAAGCAGGAGAATGGGGTGGGGAGATGGAAAGCGGGAGAATGGGGCGGGGTGATGGAAAGAGGGAGAATGGGGCGGGGTGATGGAAAGCGGGAGAATGGGGCGGGGTGATGGAAAGCAGGAGAATGGGGCGGGGTGATGGAAAGAGGGAGAATGGGGAGGGGTGATGGAAAGCGGGAGAATGGGGCGGGGTGATGGAAAGCGGGAGAATGGGGCGGGGTGATGCAAAGCGGGAGAATGGGGCGGGGTGATGGAAAGCGGGAGAATGGGGCGGGATGATGGAAAGCGGAAGAATGGGGCGGGGTGATGGAAAGCGGGAGAATGGGGCGAGGTGATGGAAAGAGGGAGAATGGGGCGGGATGATGGAAAGCGGAAGAATGGGGCGGGGTGATGGAAAGCGGGAGAATGGGGCAAGGTGATGGAAAGAGGGAGAATGGGGCGGGATGATGGAAAGCGGGAGAATGGGGCGGGGTGATGGAAAGCAGGAGAATGGAAAGGGGTGATGGAAAGCGGGAAAATGGGGCGGGGTGATAGAAAGCGGGAGAATGGGGCGGGGTGATGGAAAGAGGGAGAACGGGGCGGGGTGATGGAAAGCGGGAGAATGGGGCGGGGTGATGGAAAGAGGGAGAATGGGGAGGGGTGATGGAAAGAGGGAGAATTGGGCGGGGTAGTGGAAAGCGGGACAATGGAGCGGGGTGATGGAAAGCGGGAGAATTGTTGGTGCAACCTACGGTTTGCACTCGGCTTGTTGTCCGTGTGCGTGCATGCGTGTGTGCATGGAATGGTATGAGGGCATGGGATAATATATATTTCATGCTTACAATAGTGTGTGTATGATGGGTCATGATATTGAGTGTGTGTGTCAAGTCAATAGCGAGTTATCGCTAGTCGCGTGTAACGCGGTCATTTTGTGTGTCCCGCGCGGTGTCTATTTTGTCGTGCGCGGTTTCTTTTTTGTCGCTTGTCGAACGTTCGGCATGTCGCAGGTGTGTGCAGCAGACCCATCAAGAACTCAAGGATGAGTTTGTGATGAAGAACCCGAGCCCTGGTGTCAACATTCAAGTGTTCGCGAAGTCCGCGAAAAGGGTACACCTCAAGATATCAAGATTCGTTACATTACAACGTGTAGTGTAACATTTCAGTTGGTGTAGACCCTAGTGAAGGGTAGTTTCGAGATCCTTCGTGGTTGGGGACAGTGTGGCACTGTTCCACATCACTGTACCTCGGCTCTTGGGGTTTGTAAGAGCTGGGAGTCATTCCCAACTCGTAACTCTTGCTAACTCTTCCTAAGTTGCGTTCTAAGACTATGTTGCTGCCATAGTGCTGTTCGTTCAAACCGTCGCTGTGTCGTCAAATCTTGATGATATCGTGCGATCTAAATTGCTTATTGTAGGCGACGTTAGGGAGCTCCAGATCCAAGTTGAATGAAGTCATTTGGAGTTGTGAGCAGATCGCTATGAATGTTTAAAGCCGCTGTGCAGAAATCCGACTGTGCACTCTATCCTTAGTTTTAGGCACATTGAAGCCTACTATGACTATAACAAGTGGTATCAGAGCCCCTTGGAGCAGCTACGACTATGACTGGACCTGGAGAAAGGGGTGGCAGAGATGCTGGTGGCAATGGAGATGCCCAAGCACAAGGCCAAGCCCGTGATTCAGCCGTGGCGCCCGTGCAACCTACTCTTGGACCTTCTAGGGATGAACCAAGAGCGTTCGGGCTTGACAAGTTCAACGGCGACAACTTTGCTGAATGGTCCTTCAGAATGGAGAACGTGTTCGACCATTATGACCTGCTGGAGGTGATGGAAGGAACGGAGAAGCGTCCCGAGAACGACCCGGAGAAGAGCCTGTGGGTGCGGAAGAGCACACAAGGCTATCTTCTACTTGGGCAAGCGTCGGGGAGCAACCAGATCCGTCACATCAACCCTTTCCAGCATGAACCAGAGAAAGGACAAAAGGCATGGGCTGCTCTCAAGGGTGTACACGCTCCTGCAACAGCGGCGGTAGCTGTGGTGTTGGAACGGCAAATGGCGATGCCACGAATTCAGGAAGATGAACCCGTGGAAGACGGGGTGCAGAGATTCTTCGACTTGTTAACGCGGCTAGAGGGAGCTGATTTGAACTACAGTGAGCTCCAGAAGAAGACCAAGTTGCTGGCCTTACTCACCGAGTCGTGGTCCTTGCTCATCATCAATTTGAACCGTGACCTGCCCCGTCTCTCGCTTGAAGGCGTGAAGCGCGCGATCCTACAAGAGGACTTCCGCCGCCGTGAGTTGGCGAGTGCGGATGGCGCTGGGGCAGCTAGCGTCGGCCGTGGATATGGCCGAGGAAGAGGCAGAGGACGAGGGGGAGGAAGATCTGGTGGCGGCAACTTCAGTGGAGGCCGCGGGAACGGCAGTTACGGCAGCGACGACAAGAGCTACGGACGCGGTCGCGGTCGATTCGACGGCGAATGTCATTATTGCGGCAAGAGCGGACATATGTGGCGCGATTGCTTCAAACTCCCTGAAGGATGGACCCCTGCTCAAGGCCAAGAGGGTAAAGGAGCAGGAGGAGGGAGAGGAAGAGGCCGTGGAGGCCGTGGCGGTGCTGCAAATGTGAAGAGCGAAGATAACGACAAGGACCCGAGCGGCGATCGGTACCCGGGCCTATTCTACTTCGTGTCGACGCAAGTACCGGCTGGTCCAGAGAAGGATGAAGACCTTGAGGAGCCAGCAGCTGTAGGGAAGGTGACCCTACACCCCCTGGACTATTGGGTGATCGACAGTGGCGCTACCTATAGCATGACACCTCGCCCGGACTTGCTCACCGAACTTGAACCGTCATCGGTGAAGCATGTCACATCGGCTTTGGGGCAGCGAGCAGAGGTAAAAGGCATGGGGAAGGCCATGTTCAAGGGTGCTGATGGGAAGATGGTGGGCCTCAAGAACGTGCTTTGGGTGCCCAGCCTTGCTGCGAACCTGATTTCCGTGCGGCGGTTGGCAAAGGCCGGCATGGACACTAACTCGAAGGGAGCCAAGACCTACACCGCAAGGCTTGGCGATCGGATTCTTTGGGACCTTCATGAGGACAGAGATGTCTACAACGAGATGTGGCAGATCCCTGTGGTCCCAATGCCTAAGGAGAGGCAAGTGGCAGCAAGCGTCAGCACTAAAGGTGGAGCGGTTGGTAGCGGCGATTGCGCGGACGGTCGCGCTAAGGAGAAGGAGTCCAAGAAGTGCAATCTTGGAGGGACCAGCAAGTTTAGTGAGCCTAAAGAGAGTGGTGCAGCAACCAAGGAGCAGCAAAAGGGTGAGGAGAACCCCGAGGCAACAGCGGAGGAGGACTACGGAGAGAGTATGTGGGGCGCTATTGCGAGCGCGGCATTTTCGAATCCAACTTCGGCTATGGGGGAGTGTGATTGGCTCACCTTGCATCGGCGCATGGGGCATGTGGCCCTGCCCATCTTGCAGCAGCTAGTGAAGAATGAGATGGTTGCTGGCATACGTGTGAAGGGGGAGCCCGATGAGGTACTTGGCTGCCCGACGTGCATGCAAGCCAAGTTCACCCGTTTCCCATTCTCTAGTTCGGAGGCAACGGCTAAGGCACCACTTGATGAGGTGGTGATGGACGTGGTGGGCCCCCTGAAGCTTGGAGCTGCTGGAGCTGAGTACTTCCTCACTATTGTGGACGTCTACACCCGTATGACTTGGGTGTACGTGCTGGCCAAGAAGAGCGACGTGGCTGAAACGTTGAAGGCGGATTGGTTCCCGATGGTGGAGCGGCAACAAGACCGTCTAGTCAAGTCAATCCGCACCGATCGAGGGGGAGAGTTCCTGAGCAAGGAGTTTGGGTTGTGGCTGAAGAAGAATGGTATTCATCACTCCCTCACCATGCCATACTCCCCTGCAATGAACGGCATCGCTGAGCGAGCGAACCGCAGAATCACGGAGGCTGCACGCGGGTTGCTCATTGAAGCCAGGCTACCCGACTATTTCTGGCCTGATGCGGTGCGGAGCGCATGTGTGGCCAAGAACAGAGCCTTGAATCATGTGGGAGCAGACAAATGGGTGCCCTATGTGGAGTGGCTAGGAAGGAAGCCAAAGGTGGATATGCTTCGGGTGTTCGGGTGCATGTGCATGGCGCTTGTGCCTAAGCATCTTCGGCACAACAAGCTTGGTGCCAAGGCGGTGTGGGCCGTGCACTTGGGCATGGCTCAAAACAGCAAGGGATGGCTTCTTTGGGACCCATTCACCAAGAAGTTCTTGGTGAGCAGGGACTGCAAGTTCATGGAGAACTTCATGTACAAGGATTGGAAGGCGGAGAATGAGGCGAAGATAGGCGTGCGGTTTGGGGAGGTGAAGAGTTCCGGTTTGGAGCATGTGGAGCTGCCTTTGGAGCTGAGCAGCGGCAGCACAACCACGAGGCAATCCTCCCTTGTGAATGGGGGAGAGGAGGCCACTGATGCAGAGGAAGAAGAGGAGGAGGTGCAGCAAGTGAGCGAACGTGCACCGTCACTCCCTTCCCGTACCACGAGTGCTCCACGGAATCGAGCCACACCGCAGCAACGCCAAGGCCTTCAAGTCCCTGCAGCTGAGGAGGAAGGAAGGGGGAAGAGGAGAATTCAACCCCCTAATAGGCTGACCTATGATGCACTTGGAAAGCAAGGCAAGACAGCCCTGGCCGGAGCGGCAATGATGGTCGGAGACGATGAGGAGAGTGACTACGAGGAGTGTGCCTTCGCGTTCTTCTCTCCGGTGGAGATGCCGGGAGAACCAGCAACTCTCAAGGAGGCTTTGGAGAGTAGTGATGCTGAGGAGTGGAAGAAGGCCATGGAGAGTGAGCTGAAGAGCATCGAGGAGAATGACACGTTTGAATTGGTGGAGCTACCGGAGGGGCGTACGGCGATAACGTCCAAGTGGCTCTTCAAAATCAAGTCGGATGCCGACGGCAAGATCGAGCGTTACAAGTCTAGGCTTGTAGCCAAGGGGTACCAGCAGAAGGAGAAGGTGGACTTCAAGGAGCTGTTTGCCCCTGTGGTGAAGCCGAGGACGCTGCGAACCCTATTCGCGGGAGCCGCCATCAAAGGATGGGTGGTGAAGCAAATGGACATTATGACGGCATTCCTCAACGGCATCCTTGAGGAGGAGATTTTTATGGCGCAGCCAGAGGGGTTTGATGATGGTAGTGGCAGAGTGTGGGAGGCTTCATATGCTGTGTTGGTGGAGGCCCAACTGCTTGGGAGAGCAAGAAGCAGGTTGACCAAGCTTTGAGCTCGGTGGAGTCCGAGTACATGGCACTCTTCCGTGCCGTACGGGAGATTGTGTGGCAGCGGCGTTTGTTGGCTGAATTGGGGGAGGAGCAGCAAGGACCTACCCCACTATATTGTGACAGCCAGGGTGCCATTGCTCTTGCTAAGAACCCTGTGTTGCATGGACTCACGAAGCACATGAGGGTGAAGTGGCATTGGAGGAGGAGCATGGTAACCGCGGGTGAAGTTGAGTTGCGCTACGTGAAGACCACGGGGCAGCCGGCTGACATGATGACCAAGAGGCTGGTGGAGCAGCAGCATTGGAAGTGTTGCAAGCTGGCTGGGATGGCTCTGAACTGACAGAGCAACATATCCTAAGGCCAACAATCCGAGGGGAAGTTTGTTGGTGCAACCCTATGGTTTGCACTCGGCTTGTTGTCCGTGTGCGTGCATGTGTGTGTGTCTATGAAATGGCATGAGGGCATGGGATAATATAT